AGCGACCGGGGCAACGTGGTGCACAGGCCGGGCTTACTGAACCCCATGGGCGAATCGGCAACAAATGCGAGGTTGTCGAGGGCGTTTGATGGTTCAGACAGTTACGACGAGAGGAGGCGAGAAGCTAGCCCAACGAAGGCCGACAGCAGGGACACTGTCAAAGGAGGAAGCGGGACGGGGACGTCAAGGCAGGTATCCCCTCAGAGGAAACCATTGCCGACGCCAGCAGCGGCGCCTCCATCACCGAGCAAGGTGCCGCTACCGAGTTCACCCCAGAAAATTGCGCAGGCCCCGGAGACGCCTCGGGCATCCATCGTCTCGAAGCCAATGCCGCCAGTGCCGTCGCCAGACTACGATCGTGTGCTTCAGGAGCAGCTCCAGCGGGAGATGGGCGTGATGAATCTGGGTTCGGCCATCCAGCCACAGAGCCCCTCACTCCACTCCACGGCATCGTCGTCAAGGCCGGTCCCGATGAAGATCCCGGAGATACCACCCTTCCGTGGACATCAGCAGCAGCAGCAGCAGCAGCCTTCGCCATTTCCGCACCCGTTACAACGAACCACAACCCAACCGCAACCACTCGAAACCAAGAGCACCACCCAACCCTCCGTCTATCAGTTCTACCCGCAACAGCAACCGCAACTCCAATTTCCGCCCCACCCAGCAACCCAACAACAACACAAACCATCCTACTCGAGCCAAAACTTCCAGCCCCTCGTCTCCAAAGAGCTCCCACGCCCCTCTCCAAACCCGGACCCCAACTCGGCTGCCCCGCTCTCCTTCCCCACCCCGGCCCCGAGCAACCCAGGCGGCGACCTCGACGCCCTAAACGACGTCATCTTCCCGGCCCTTGAGGAGGCCCTCAAGCGGCGCCAGATCCACCTGCAGCAGCTGTACCGCCCGGAGCCGGGGATGCCGCTGCCGCCCGTGACGCCCAGCCAGCAGCGCGCCGAAGCGGCGCACGAAAAGATCCGCAAGCTCGTGTACAAGCTGGCGCACGTGTGCAAGGAGATTGACCACTTTGACAAGGCGGAGCCGGTGGGGATGGGCAAGGAGGTGGGGACGTTTCTGGAGGGGTTGTTGGAGGAGATCTTGGTGAGGGTCGAGCCGTTGGATGAGGAGGTCGGGGGGGTTTGAGGGTTGGGCTTGGCCTCGAAGGGAACTGGAGGAGGGTTAACGAGGGGTGGTGCGTGGTGTGTAAGAGTACGTGAGGTACGGAGGTTGGAATGTGCGGGTCTCCTCAGATTTGCGCTTTGCGGTGTTGTTCTGTCTCGCGCGGAGTTGAGGCAGATATGCAGATACTGTGATGGGAGGAGAGGGGGAGACGGAGAGGTGTCGGTCGTTCGTGTCCCAGTGGGCTATACCTTTTCGTTTGTTGTCACCTTCCCCTTAGAATCTGAGCAATCCCCGGGACGGAGAGGAGTGTCCCATTTACAGCACGACAAAACATAAAAGGTGTCGATCACGCATTCCCTGGGAGCAAATTCAGAACCGGCAATGGGACACCTGCAAACTCAAGACGTGACGCTCAATTCATGTCTATAACTGGCTCACGCTACCTCTCGCCACGCCCCCTGATTTAGAGCAGGTCCATCAGCTTGGAGGCAACATAGTCAATGTTGGTTCCGAACTCGCCCGGAAGGCACTGCAGGTACAGCACGCCATCCTCGATGTCGACCTCGCAGTACGACTCGCGCTTGAGCTTGTCGACGATGCGGAAGGCGTACTCGTTGGTGCTGACGGCTTCGAGCACGCCCTCCTGGATCATCTCGTCCTCGCCCACCTTCTGGTACTTCATCTGGTAGACCAGGGCGTCAAAGTAGCGGAAGGTGAAGTCGGCCAGGTTGGTCTGCCAGTCGTCGCGCACCGACGACTTGCCGCCCTTGTGGGCCTCGGCCAGCTTGGCGAAGTTGGCGTCGAAGTTGGGCGTCAGCGTGATGGCGTCCTCGCTCTTGCCGAGCAGCTCGGCGAGCTTGGCGCGCACCTCGCCGATCTTGGGGTCGTAGTCCTGGCGGATGCCCTGGCGGACGACGAAGGACAGGGGCGCGTCGCTCGGCGCGTTGTTGAGCGCCTTGGTCAGGAACTCCTCGGAGCAGCAGTAGTCGATGTTGGTGCCGAGGTTCTGCTCGACGAAGAGGATGCGCAGCTTGCCGTCCGACACGTCGCACCCGCCGTACGAGAAGCGCGGCGGCTTGGTCTCCTCGAGGTCCAGCGCCAGGACGTGGGCGCTGCAGATGCTGTTGACCTCGTTCTTGAAGTCGTCGCCGTACTTGCCGGCGATGTACTTGAGCTGGTGGATGGCGCCCTCGAAGTAGCTGGCGAGTGTGTTAGTGTGGGCGGAGGAATTGGGTCATCAGGGGGTGGCACTGGACGTACGCCTTGATGCAGCTGCCGAGCGACTCTTTGGCATAGCCGTCGTTGTGGTAGGGCCAGATGGCAAGGGGGTCGACCTCGAAGGTCCAGGCAGCGCCCAGCAGCTCGGACAGCTGCGCCTCCAGGTCGGCCTTGTTGTTCTCATACTCGTCCCGGACTAGAGTGTGTCAGAAAGTTGCTGGTGCCCATTTGGGGTATAGATCTTACGGTTCTTGCGCAGGGCAAGGGGGAGCTTCTCGGCAGGCGGAAGACGGGCCATGTTGACTGATGCTGGATGTGAAAGGGGGGTTTGAAGGGGGGGTTCGAAGTGATGGGAGTGTTGATGCGAGGATGTGAGATGATGGTGAATGCTCAAGCCAAGACACTGGCTCTCCCACGAGAAACGTCTGCTCTTTATACACCGCTCCTCCCTCTCTCAACCTCCCTCCCCGATCATCTCGCATGTGGGTCGACCCCTCTTCTGGGCTGTCGTTGCCTGCCAGCGTCACCACGGTGACCCCGCTAGAGTGTAGGGCTGAAGCACCCCCCCTGCCCAGAGACGGGATGGTCGGATGGTGTCTGTCTTCACGGCAGAACTGAAGAAACCGTTAACCGTGCAGTGCAGCGCAACGAGATCCCTGGGCCGGTGCAGCTTGGCTCTGCCTGCTGCACCCCTGAACCTGCACAACGCTTGTCGTGACAGGAAGTTCCAAGCGGGTGCTGGGACGGCCAGCGAGTCACAGCACGTCCTGTCAGCCTCGTGGGCGAGCCGAGGCCAAAAGAAGCTCACCGCTGCGGTCGACGAAATGAAATGCCGTCCTCAAGGTCCTACATCGCCCCTTGGCTGTCGCAGCTAGAGGTGATACGATGCAGCTACCTCTAGCGTATGTGGGGAGGGTCGCTCAAGTGCAGGGAACGTGCCGGGAGGGATGGGGTGACGGGGGCTCCGCTCTCCAAGACGACGGTGTCACGGTGTGGGTTGATGCAGCGAGATGCCTAGGAGACCCCCTCAAACGGGGTCTGTCAAGCGAGCGAGCGAGCGGGACGCGTCTCGTTCCATCGCTGTTGCGGGGGAATCTCCGGTTGGGCTGTCCAGAATCCCCGGATCTTAGTCCGCCTTGCGAGTTGCCCTGCAGCTTGTCCCCTGCCAAGAGCGACCCCCCTGCCTTCAGCTTTGCGCCTCATGGAGCCCAACCCCGTCAGGGGTCCCACACCACCGACCTCCCGATGCCGCCTTGCCCCGCTCTCAAGATGTCCATGAGGTTCAAAAGGCGGGAAGCATTCTTGGGTTGGCCGTGGAGGAAGGGGTCCATTGAGATCCATCACCACTCTCTCACAGCCCACAAGAATACCACCTCAACTCCTCCGCCATGCCGTCAATGTAGGCAGCAACCACCCCCGTCCCAGCCAGACCCCTCTCTTACACGGAACTAACCGTCCCGACAGACCGCTCAAGGCCCAAGTCGGCATCCGGGACCACTGGAAGAAAGAGGACGGCCCCCTGCAGACCACCCTCCGCGACCTGGAGGGGCTGATCGGCCATTCGGTCGTCATCGAGCCGGAATGGCCGCTGATCGTCGCCGAGCTTGACTCGTTCTACGAGGACAAGAACAACCTCATCGCCATCGTCGCGGGTTGCGTGCAGGCGTGGGCCAAGAGCATGATGGAGCTGCTCGAGGACCCGGCCCACGCGGACTGGACCGATACGCTCCTGGAAAAGATCCCCGTGCGGATGCGGGTGTTTGTCGAGGTGGCGGCCTCGGCCTCCGCGGCGACCGCGTGGTCGGAGCAGCGCGACGGGTTCGTGCTCAGCTTGCCCAAGAAGACGGTCTACCAGCCCGCCGAGCTGTTCCCCGTCTTCCGCGGTGGGCTGCTGCCGTGTTTCGAAGTCAAGAAGAAGCCCCAACTTCCCGTGAGACAGGCGGACACTGGCGCAGCGGACGAGTGGGAGGGTGTCGAGGTCGACGCGACGACCGGGACCGCGCAGGTGGCGCAGGCTCCGAGGGCGTCGTACGCTCCGGCGGCGGCGCGGCCCAAGGTCGAGTTCCTCCCCAACATGGCCTCCCTGCCGCGGCCGGACCAGCTCTTCCTGCAGCCGCCGTACCATCTCAGCCTGATCCACGGTCACCATCAGATTGAGCTGCACTGCAGCCACAGCCCGACCCTGGAGCTGCTGGCCGAGTATCTGAAGCGTTGGTGCCGCATCAACCACGCAGACACAAGGAATGCAAGCCTCCTCCCCCCCTTGCCAGACAACATCGTGCCCGTCGCTGACAGTTGTATGTGCAGCCCCCCGCCGTCTCCGTGACCCTCCACCAGTCGCCCTTTGGCCTCGGCGAGCTCTTTGACCGCCTGACCCTTAACACCGAGACGAGCTACAGCAACCGGTTCACCGTGACCGCGCCCATGATTATTTCCCTCATCGAGGGCGTGCTGGGCTACGAGCTGATCCCCAACCAAAGTGGCTGGCACTTCCGACGGGATCATGAGTTCAAGACATTTTGATCTGGCCGAGGTCTCGGTGGTTGACATGGAGAACAGGGGGTGGCAAAAAAAGGGAGACAAGAATCCACATTTGGGCTTGGCCGTGGATCGGGGGTCGATGGAGCGAAGTGTGGGACGTCCACTCTCAACAAATGAAATAGCCTGCCCGGCTAGCTCAATCGGTAGAGCGTGAGACTCTTAAGAATCTCCGAACATCTCAAGGTTGTGGGTTCGACCCCCACGTCGGGCTCAATTCCCGTCGACGATTCAGTCAACATCTCTTTTTCCATTTTTGGCCGGCTTTGCCTCACCTTGCGCAATGGTCTGCTGGCTCTTGACGCGGGCGCAGTGGGCCATGGCATTGAATGCTTGCTCTTTTCGTGTTACCCGGAGCTGCTCTCGTGTTTACATGCCCTTTGTGTGTTTTGCCACCCCCCCTGATTCCAGGCTGTGGAAGCTCACTCCCTCCAACGTGTGTAGACCTTTGCTTCCCATGCCAGCAGCGGCTCCCGCGCAACCCACTCTGTTGGAACATTTCTGTTCTGAGAGACCTCCCGCCAGCCGCTCTTGTCCTTGTCTGGCCAGTTGGGAACGACATACTCGGTGCCAGGAGTGTTTTCGTTGCTAAAGTTGGCGACAACGATCACCGGCGACCTGCCATCGCCTGTTTGGCCCCTGCGCCATGCCAGGATTTTCCCTCCGCGGCTCCTATCGACGTGGAAGAACTCGGTATCGTCCTCGCCCAAGGCAGGACACTTGGTTCGGAACTTGACGAGGCCTGCCACGTACCCAAACAGGCCTTGGCGCCAGCCCCCGTCGTTCTTGCGCGAGTAGTTGACGGGATCGCTCTGCTTCTTGCCCATGTCGACGCTGCGGTCCATCTGGTCGGCGAATTCCTCGCCGGCAAAGATCATGGGGATGCCGACGCTGGTCAGCAACAGCGCAAACGCCAGCTTCGCCCTCTGCTCGACGTCCCAGATGCCGTTGCTCTTGAGAAAGTTGTAGAGCCTCTCTTTGCGGTACCCCTCGATGTCATGCGAGGTAATATAATTGACGGCTTGGGCGCCGTCGGTGAAGTGCGTGCCGTCGAGGTCGTCCAGCGTACAGTCCACCAGCTTCCGAACCGTCCACTCAAAGTTGTCGTTGTTGGCTGATTCGCCCAGTATGACTGCCCGCAGACGGCCTTGCCAAGGCTCGTTCCAGAGGGCATTGAGAATGCCGTGGTGGACCATCGAGACTGGCATCGAGAGCTCCTCGCCGATAACCAGGAACTTGCTCGCATCGGCCGAGCCGCCATAGCGCGCGTTGTACAGCTCCCACGCGCGCTCCTTGTAGGACCGCACGAAGTCGTAGTTTCCGATGTTGTTCACGCTGTCGAGCCGGAGGCCGTTGACGCCGAAGTCCGCCATCCACCTGGCGAGATGGAGGCGGTGAAAAGTCCACGCCGGGTGGACAGTCGAGTTGCCAGCTCCCGTCTCGGGGTCGTAGGCGTGGGCAGAACGAATGTACCGCCAGGAATTCCCGCCATACCCGTCTCTCAGTTGTCCCTCGGCATGGGACTGGTAGCTGTCCGGGTTGTCTCTCTCCATGGTGGGCCGGAGATGGAAGTTGGGAAAGTCGATGTAACTATAAGAATCATGTCCAAACGCCATGACCACGTCGGTGAAGAGCCGCACCCCCTGAGCATTGATCGTTTCGACGAGGCTGCGCAGTTCCGATGCGGAGCCTAGATCATAGTCGGGCGCAAAGTAATGGGCCGTTGCGTACCCCCATTCGCCCTTGGCCTTTGCGTCGGCGGCCGGGAGGAGCTCAAGGGCGTTGATGCCGAGTTCAGTGAGGATGGCGTCCTGATGAACAGCAGCAATGGAAGCGAAACGGTCACCGCCTGCCGCACGGTCGAACAGGGCGAGGACGTCAGCAAACGTGCCCACGTCCACGTCGCTTCCACGCGAATCGTCTCCGACCTTGGCCCACGACGTGGGGAGCTCGTAGATGACGAGGTGGTTGTTGCTAGGGAGCGTGGCCTGGTCCGGAAGCGGAGGGGGCTGGGACTCGGCGCCGTTCAGATCACAGGCCCAGAGCCTGTCCGCGCGGTATTTGATGACTGACGCTGGCTGATAGCGAGCATTGTCCCCGATCGACCGAGCCACGCTGTAATCGACGGTGAAGGAGAGGGGATCGGCAACTAGAATCGGGCCCCTGTTCTCGGGGGAGGTGTCCTGGATCTTGAACCAGTAGCGGTACACTCCCTCTTTGAGAGTCGGCGAGATAGCCGACGGCTCGAGCACCCACAGTCCAACCTTGTCGTTCGAGTGAACAAGGGGATATTGGCCAATCTCATTAAAGACAGGAGGAGTTCCGCTTGTAGTCCCAATGACAAGAACTGGCGGTGGAATGGCCGAACTGTCCGCCTGTGGCACCCACAGGAGGAACCTCTCGTGTCGTTGCGTGAAGATGTTGAGAGGATCCATTCTGACCGAGGTTTCATGAGGGACAATGTTTCGAATTGAGAGATGTCGGGTTTCTTGGGCCTGGGTGGGAGCGGTGCCCCTTTATCTGGCCAGCAACATGTCCTATGGCGGTGAGATGCAGGTCAATGCTGACAAGGACGGGAGGAGGCTTGAGTGGTTACGAGGAATCCGAGTTGGCTGATGGTTGCTTTCCAGACTCAGTCAAGCCTTCAGCCGAACAGATGCAGGGAGTCTCAATCGCACCGTCCTTACCTACCGCAGTCTCAAGGCCCCCCATTGGCCAGCGGACCGGCGAGCAGCGAGGGGAAGCTGGGATGGCGGCGACAGGACATTTGGATGCGACTGTTCGAGTTGTTCCAGCGACGCAGCATCATGAATTCCACAAACGCAGAATCCACAAACGCAAGGGGAATTGCGAGAATGCAGCTGAACAGGTGAACAATCATGCATGGAATGTAATGTATGTAACATATTTTTGTAAGGCGTACCTAAACTGTTGGATGTTGCATCAAGTTTTGCCAGTGCCAGTGGGTGCATTTGTTGGCGGTTCAGCCCAAGCTCCCCGCTGTGGTTCCAGACATTCAGCGCTGGGCTGCATATCTTGGCCCTGGGCACTCGCAGCAAAGCACGTGAAGGACCCCCACAGCTTCCGCACCGCCGGCCAAGGTGCAGACGTCACAGACAGCCGCTAAACACGCTAATCCGAAGACGGGCTAGCGTAATCAGGCTTCTCAGCGACGACCCACTGGTCCGGGAAGATGGAGACCGAAAAGAGCTCGCCCAACAAGGCAGGCAAAGGCGCAGAGGCAATTGGATTTGTTTTGGGTTTTTGCGGCATTTGCCCTTCAACATCTCCAATCCAACATCCTCTTTCTGCTCGCCTCGTGTGCTCTTTACACCTGCAATACCCCGACGACGGTCTTCTGGAGAACCCTTAATTCCCACCTCTCCGCTCAATTCCCCAAGATGCTGTCCCGGAACTCGTCGCGCGCCGCCCAGGTACGTCTTGCGCTATCTGTACCTTTCTCCCTGCCTTGCCGCCGCCCGCAGCCCAATCGTCCAGAAACCCATCCCCACACACCGTCGCTGGCTGGCGTCAGAGCCCGAGGACCGCCCTGCTAACCTGCCCTCCCACCAGCGCCTGCTCAGGGCCGCTGCTCAGCCCCAGCAGCGCCTCAACGTCGCTCGCGGTTTCGCCAGCGTCAGCGACCCGGCCCAGACCGTCCAGTCCGACATCTTCAAGCCCACCAAGTACGGTGGCAAGTACACCGTCACCCTCATCCCCGGTGACGGCATTGGCGCCGAGGTTGCCGAGAACGTGAAGGAGGTCTTCAAGGCCGACAATGTGCCCATCACATGGGAGCAGATCGAGGTGTCGGGTCTCGACGATGCCACGCCCACGGGCCGCACAGAGGAGAAGTTCCAGGAGGCCGTTGCCTCTCTCAGGCGAAATAAGCTTGGCCTGAAGGGCATTCTGCACACCCCGATCAGCCGCTCTGGCCACCAGAGCTTCAACGTGGCCATGCGCCAGGAGCTCGACATCTACGCCTCCATCTCGCTCGTCAAAAACATCCCCGGCCTCAAGACGCGCCACGACAACATCGACATGTGCATCATCCGTGAGAACACCGAGGGCGAGTACAGCGGCCTCGAGCACCAGAGCGTCCCCGGCGTCGTCGAGTCGCTCAAGATCATCACCCGCGCCAAGTCGGAGCGCATCGCCAAGTTCGCCTTCAGCTTCGCCCTTGCCAACAACCGCAAGAAGGTGACCTGCATCCACAAGGCCAACATCATGAAGCTGGCCGACGGTCTCTTCCGTGGCACCTTCCAGCGCCTCGCCAAGGACTTCCCCCAGCTCGAGTGCAACGACATGATCGTCGACAACGCCTCGATGCAGTGCGTCGGCCGGCCCCAGCAGTTCGACGTCATGGTCATGCCCAACCTGTACGGTGGCATCCTGTCCAACATTGCCGCCGCCCTTGTTGGCGGTCCCGGTGTCGTCCCCGGCTGCAACATGGGCCGTGATGTTGCCGTCTTCGAGCCCGGCTGCCGCCACGTCGGTCTCGACATCAAGGGCAAGGACCAGGCCAACCCTACTGCCCTCCTTCTCAGCGGCGCCATGCTTCTGCGTCACCTCGGCCTTGATGACCATGCTAACCGCATCTCCAACGCCGTCTACGACGTCATCGCTCAGGGGTAAGTCAAAAACAGTGTTTAGCGGGTGTGCAGCATTCTAACCCCCCTCACAGCAAGGTCCGCACCCCCGACATGGGTGGTAACGCCACGAACCAGGAGTTCACCCGCGCCATCCTCAACTCGATGGAGAAGGCCCTTTAAACGCACCCACATCGCTAGACCAACATGATTCGTACAGCGGCGAGTGTATATACCCGATTGCACTGTGCCCTATCAATACCGATCCCACCATCGCCCGAAATAGAGTGACCGAGAGGCGGCTTTCTCGGATGACCGGCCAGGGGCAGGACGGACGGTAGATGGGGCAACTGGCACTATAGACTGGACAAGAAGGGGGCGGAGCGGAAGGCATGCGGAGGAACATGTATTGTACGTGTATACGAGACGGGTGGCCGTGGGGCACGCACTTATGTTTTCTATGTCTCTGCCATGGTAATGAGGTGAATGTATCTTTGATTTTGAGCATGAACGGACCCTTGAGTTTTTTTGCTTCTATCACTGCACCGTTTCCACACTTCTCCACTGGTTTTCGGGCCTTCCCGACAAGTTTGCGGTCCAAGATGGAGCCTGCCACTTTCGCTCT